GTACGTACGACGTAACTTATTGTCGTTCGCAGAACGACGACAAGAAGAAGAAACGCGGATCCATATAGCCAAGTCGTCTATTTGTAAGCGGGCCGTGAGTTGCATGGCCCAGGCCTACTTATCCCCGGCATCCCCACGAGAACCACAACAATTTGATGGGAGCCGCCCTCGATTCGCTTTTGTTTATTCCGTGTTTGTTTGCTATTCCCGACGCGAGACGGCGGGTGCCCCTTGCGGTAAATAAAATGCGTACTCCCCGGTATTGGCGAAATTACGGCGACTTCAAAGGCGGCTCGGGCGAGTTTGTTTTTCGTTTCGCTCTGACAATGGTTTTGTCGGCGAGTCGGCGAAGAAAAATTAAGTGATGTCGGTCGGTGCCAACCTACAAGAATGCGAAAAAATTTTGCTTGATATGCGCTGCTAATCCATGCTGCTAATGGCGAGTACATGATATTCGTTCCAGTGACAAGATGCTGTAATCATTCTCCCTTATCGGTTAACAAAAAAGTCATAATTTAAAATTCATATTGCTGAAAAATGTCGCACGAAGAAAATTGAAATTATTGCCCATGTAAGTTCAAGAACAATAAAAAATCATCTAGGAAAAGTTCACTCGTTCTTTATCGTATTTTAAAAAGAAAATGCTCACCCTAAGCATGGCCGCAAAGTACTTCGAAGCGATGAAATCGTTTTTGGCGAAGAAAATTCTTGAGAAGAACCTTAAAACTGGTATCAGTAGAATATCAAGAAATGAGAGAGGAGTATAGTTTGAACGATAATTGTTATTCTATAATATAGGGTACAGTCGAAGGCCATATGAAACCAAAATAAATAAGAACTGAAAGTTCAGATTTTCACGAAATTATACACACCGTGTCTTTATCAAATGTAATATTTACAAACTACCTGCCACTTTATATACTGAAAAATGGCCATAAAACCTTAATTAATGTTGTGAGAATTTAAGTTCAATAAAGGAGAGCTATTTAAATCTAATTGATCGTTAAGCAATATATTTGAATGTCTTATTTTGTTAATCTCCATGACTTCCAATAAATTTAATTTTCTACTTTTTGTGGCTGTATGTAATATATCAAAATTGTCGTGAAAAATGTGTTTTTCTGTGTTTAAGTGTCTAGCATAATTAGAATCTAGACTATTGTTTTTAAACGCTCTTTTATGTTCATTAATGCGTTTCTTGAACGATCTACTTGTTTGTCCAATATAAATTTTAGGAAAAGATCGGCATTTCAACCTGTAGACAACTGATTTTTGAGATTTTTGACATTTCGTTTTATTGGTTTTTAAAAATTTTCCTATTGTGTTGTTAGTTCTGAAAGCTATTTTTAAACCACATTTTGACAAATGTTTTGAAACATTTTCACTAATTTCTCCTATGTATGTAATTGTTTTAAATTGTTCATATTCTGTGTTAGGTTTTGGATAAATAGAGTGTATTGTTGTCTGGATTCCTTTTTTATTTATAATTTTTTGTATAACGGACGGATTGTAGCCGTTGTTCAGTGCAATTTGTTTAATAATATTAAGTTCTTTATTGTAATTTTCTGTTAAGGGTGGCGTATTACGAAGTCTCTGTATAAAGGAGTGAAATGCAGCCATTTTGTGTGCATAAAGGTGTTTTGAGCTGTTATGTATGACTGTGTCCGTGTGTGAAGGCTTATGATAAATGGAAATTATGCTACACACTTAAACACAGAAAAACACATTTTTGACAATTTTGATATTTTACATACAGCCTCAAAAAGTAAAAAATTAAATTTATTGGAAGCCATGGAGATTAACAAAATGAGACATTCAAATTAACGTTCAATTAGATTTAAATACCTCTCCTTTATTGAACTTAAATTCTCTCAACAACATTAATTAAGGTTTTATGGTCATTTTTCGGTATATAAAGTAGCAGGTAGTTTGTAAATATTACACTTGATAAAGACACGGTGTTGTCGAAACAATTGTCATGTCAAAATATATAATTTCTTGAAAATCTGAACTTTTAGTTCTTATTTATTTTGATAAATGGATTTTCATCAAGTAAAAGCCACCTCGGTTCAACCATATGAAATCATTAATTTTCTTATATTATTTTATCTTATATTATCTAAGAAATGTGATACCCCTTTAAAAATTTCATCTGCCACTAGACAGGAATAACCTATATACCGTGGAGATTTGTGAGGAGCAGTCGAATCATTAAAAGTAGGCTTTACGTTTGTTACATTTGTGACGTTACAATTAGTTAAATGATCAGTCGCTTTATTTGATCTCTTTGTTTTATAAGAAATAGAGATAAATGCAAACTAAAAGCATATGACAGTTTCAATTAGTTTTGAGTTTTTCTTTGATGTCATAGGAAACTTAACCATAGCAAGTGTTTTTCGAATTCCGCATACCAAACGATCGCTTTCATTTTGTTTATTGTCCTCTTTTGCTACGCGCCTATCACACTGGACGGAATTATCTACTGCCTCAAATTTTCAATTTATTTGGTTTCACAAAGTCCATTTGAGGTTTTTAAAAGTATTCGTCGGCTGTCAGTTATCGTCGTGTCACTCTAGAAGCTGTGATACTTCAATTTGTGCGGTGCAACTTTCTCTCTCTCTCTCCTTTCACGACACAGTAAATCGCAACAATAGGCTATCGAATAAAGCGCCAATACGGCCGATTTAAAGAACTACACACACATACGGGCAGGCCATCATTCTTCTCGAAAACCAATAATGATCGTCTGTCGGGCACTCCGTCCGTTTCTTACACTGCCTGCAACTTTTTAAAGAAAAGCTTTACAGTCTGACACTACGAAGAAAGTAAAAAAAAAAGGAAAACCCGACGGCGACGCAAATAAATATCTCGCATAGCTCCGCGTAACGCGAAATTCCGCAAGTCCAGAAGAAAAACACTCCGAAAAACATCACTCCTTCCTCCCACATCTAGAAAAAGTGAACGCACGTCAGCGTTTATTAGATACGGTTGCCGCTCCTTCTTTCAACTTTCGTTGGAAATTTAAGGTTCAACAGATAACGTCTCGGACGTCTCGGTTTTTCTCCGCCCTCGCCCCGCGTTTTCACCCCGAGGAAGTTTTCCAATTAAAACGAAAACCGTGTCCATTTGGACTAAATAAGGTGTTGCGTGGTGAATAACTTCGGCGTACCGACTTCCCTATTTTGTTTGTTCTTCGTGGTCCTTTTTAGTAAACATTTTGAGGCCATTCACGACTTTTTGTTTAACTGTTCTCTGTTATATATTTGTGTTGTAGTTAGTTTATGGCGTTTTAATGTAGATTTTTTGTGTTTTACTTTTGTTTTGGTTGTTCCGTCTCGATTCTTGGTTGCGGTCTAGCGGTGCCACAGTTCAAAAAGTTTCACGTCTGCTACATGACAGGGTAGGTGAACAAGAAGATGAAAGACTAGAACTCATTCTATGCGAATGTCCTAACCTCTCAACTAATGCTAGGTAAATAAAATCAACCTCCCATGGTCATGAAGGAAATCGAGACCACTCTTCCAGCTCTCATCGTCTACTTGGAGTCAATAAGCACACTGGACTTGCTGAGGTCTAAGCGCTGTGATGCAGGCTACCCTCCTTCACTTACAGATACAGATAGCAAACTTTGATTTTATTTTATTTGTGAATATCAAAATTGAATTAAAAAAGTCGTCAATAAAACGGGCGAGTAATAGCTGTTGTCTCGGAATGGCGGATTTCAAAAAAATAACACTGAAAAAAATGGGGTCTTCCTGTTGCCACGCACCTCCTGGTCTAAACAATATATAAAAGCAACGCGAAATACTGGTTAGAAAAGGAAAAAAAAAGAGAAATAATTATGGTAGGAAAGAGGAAAAAAAAGGTAAATAAATAATTAGATTTAAAAAAAAGGATTCAATTTCTTGCAGAACTGTGTCGCTGGGTGCTTGCAAATTAGTTACCCGTAGTGCCCAGAATTCTGTAGCGATGCGGGGGGGGGGGGCACGAATAATAAAGAAAATATAGCACTATTTATCCTTAGGGCGCCAGGAAGTAGCAGACCTTCCAGTCTCTCAGATGGTTTGAGGAACCCGAGGTTTTCAAAAAAAAAAGAGAACATTAACGATGAAATCTACTATTAAATTTACGATCGATAAAAGTTAGTCGTGAAGGTGAAGGGGCCAAAATAGAGATGAAAACTGGTCTACGTTATTTAATACGCGGCGAAAATGAGAAATTACAAATCCGTGACGTACCGACCTAAACTCCGCTAAATTTAATTGCCGTCCCACAACAAGTTGACAGTCCGTTTAATGCGATAAAATAATAGAAATACACAAAAAAAATCAAATTCCCTTAGGTGATCACCACAGGCTAACAAGGGCAATATAGATAACTCGACAACGATCGTACTCAGTATTAACAGTACGTCAACTTCCCGCAAATAATTATATATAAATTTTCAAAGCATTTGTACACGAATCACCGGACCCACAAATACCACAGCGAACATCAGTTTTCTCGTTAAAGACATTAAGCCTTTCATTAAAATATACACTACACCACAATCTCTCCTCCTAAAGAAAATGACTCCGAAATCAACCTCACACTGTGGTCCTTTCGTACATTTAAAACATTCCGGATCACAAATCAAAAGGTCTTAAGAAATGTAATGTTACAACATTTTCGAGTCATTAAAGACAAAATTTCATTTGGTACACTAAGAGTGAGTTCCGTGCATATGCAGTAAAGAATTCATGGGAGAGACAGAACAAAAATATCGACTAAAAATGGTTTTGTGCTGTTTAGTTACTTTTAGTTTTAGTTTAGTTTAGTTAGTTTAGCAGTTAACTCCAATTTTCAGAGGCAAATTACGTCTATGGTGACATCGCACAGCATAAAATTAAAAGCTGCGACATTCCCAAGCGTAGAACGTAATGGTCTGAGTGAAACAAATCATGGAAAATCCGTTCTATCACCGCAAGCAATGTTTGTTCATGCCTAATCATAATCCAGGAATTGCAATATTTATTCTTTGTTTTTTAACATCTTGTTCCACATGCAATTTTTATCCAAATCGTCGGCGTTCTCATTTCCCTTAAACTCTACACCCTCCAATCGTCGACTGTCCAGTAAGGTTTTGAAGGTATCCACGCACACTAACCCAGTGCCATCTTCTGCTACACCAGCCGACCATAGCACGTTGAAACTGTCGTCGTGAAATTGATAACCCACTTTTTCGAAAAGATTTTTCAGCAGGTCGGACGATCTGGGCTGTAAATGGTATTTTACGCTATTTTCCTCAACCCAACTAGCTGATGGTTTAACCTCGAAAAAATCGCGATACGTAAGTCCGAATTTCGTGTATATACTAGGGCTTAGCACCGTGTTCGTGGACGTTTCGTTTCCGAAGTGACTGAGGTCTGCCCTGCATCCGCCGTCAGGAATCACGGGGTATGGTTTGTCGTATCTGCTGGACGGTGTTCCAGCCGGTCTCATACCTGAAAACGCGGATTAATTAGAACGGACTGAAAATTTGAGAACGCATTTTAGTATGTAGTAAATACAAAGCGTGACAAATGGAAACGATTTTATACCGCGGCAGTACGCGATGCAGCCCCATAAAAGCGTCGTAACCATCAAAAATGGCGTAAATAACTTGGACGATGACAGTTTTAGAAGTAGTTTAAATTTTATGGCCGTGTTAAGGGTTGTTCGACATGGTCACAATGTATTTCGGATGTCTGCCTCTGCTAGGTAAGGTTGTCTACCGCGAGAAATTTTATAGTTATTGTATTTTGTTATAATTTTTTTGAAATATTTCTAACTTTCCCTCATTTCTCCATCTCAGGCCAAGATGACACAATACACCCTACACAATATTTATTCTGATACAACTCCTGTCGTTCCATTATCAAAACTTATTTTTTAAATATTGTGGTGCTATGGAACCTTAAAAATTCTCTTAAAGCAAAACCGGATAATAATATACAAATTTTGTAGACAAACATTTGTTGTTGGTCATATAGAAAAACAGTATATGCAAAGGAGATACAACAATTCATCTTCTTCATTTGCCTCTAACTACATCACATTCTTCTCGTCTTTCTGTTATGACGAGTGTTTGAACATTCGTTCCAGTTCATTCTCGGATATTTTTCATCTAAAACATTCTTCTTGTGCCTGGACCTTCAATTTTGTCTATGACGATCAGTTGTCATAAGGTAGTCTTCGATATGGGGTATTTAGTGTTAAACCACTGTTATAATTTTGAAGAAATTTTGATATCCCAATCTTCAGCAATCCAACACTACTTGTTGTATTCATCTACTCTTATGCTCATCGACTGACGAAAAGAGACCAAAACAATTTTTTATTAACAGTTCTATTCATATCTGGGCTTAATTCAGTATATGTCGGATCCACAGGAATTTTTTTTTATCGCAGAACGGTCTTATTATATTGTTTTCCTATTCCCGGTACATTTAAAATTGTATTTTCGTTATTTACCAGTGGATAAGCAACGTTGCTTTTAAGTAAATCAGGGATTTGCTTAACTTTTTGTGAATATTTTGGTCGTCCTGCATGATCTGTAGCGCTCCTTGGTTCTTATCTTGGTTTTTATATGTTTTCCTTTCATTCATAATATTTCTCTTGTCATCCAGTGCTTATGTTAAGTAAGTTTCTTGACTGTTGATATAAAATGGCATAATATACGTCATTAACTCGATGTTACTGTTATTAAAAGCTGATTTGGCATGATTTGTTTAGCTAACCTCTTTCAATGCTTGGTAATATCAAAGTTTTCAGATTATACTGTACCATGACACATACCATAGAAGTAGATTACCTATGAAAACTGAAGTTAGTATGATCTTAACGGTGGGAATAGACCAAAAAAATATTGTTGCGCAGCACCTGTTGTCAAACTTGTTTCCGTGAAAAAAAAACATTGTTTGTTTGGTTGCTGTGAGCGACGAAGGAGATGCTTTACTCGCGTGATGTGCGTTATTATTTATGACGTGAGAACTCTACCTGTATAAGTCGTTCAACTGATTCAAATGAACTTCTTATTATTTTTCTACTAAATTATACAATTACACCTTATACTCTATCCATAGTTCAGCAACATCTTCCTTAACGGACCGTCTCGGGAGAGGTTATTTCAAACTTTAGACAGGTTATTCCATAGACTAAATACCAGAAAATCATTTTAAATAACACGGCGAACATCCAAACCAAATCATCTGGACTTCTCTTGTTATTGGTTAAAATGTTTACGCATCGTGATACTCATTTCTAGCATGATACTCATTTCTAGCATACCAAAATTTGATCGAAAACTCTAGGTATCATTAAGTTAGCGATCAGCTAAAAGCAAGACGTACCCGAATTGTCTATAATTCGATAGTCGTCGTACGCAGCCTGATAACTGGTGGTATAGTGCTTGCACTCTTCGGGTATGTCTAAAACAGAATTTCAAATGGGTTATTGCGAATCCAGAGGAATAGACGTTACCGTCGAAGAATTCTATGTTGAAATGTTCTCTATTAAAGTCTACCATTTTTATAAATTCTCCGTAGTCGATCTTTGTGTCTCTAATGATACCCAAGTGCGCCGCCAGAGACTCGATTTCCGTTTTGGGAAAAGTGACTCTGTTTATGGCGCAAAGTTGATAAAACTGATCTACTTCTAGGTATCCCGTTTTGTCTTTATCCAAATGCAGAGCCTTCTTGTAGAAATCACCTAGTTTAAAATCAGTCTTTCTGCATCGCGTTTTTAGTTTTGCTTTGAATTTGTTTAATGCCGATATCCATTTTCGGAAATTCATTTTTATAACGTGGGGTTTGACATTGGGGTCTTTAATTAATTCACCCACTCCGTAGAAATCTCTTTTCAACGGCTTTCCGAACGAGTGATTCTCGGGGACGCATGATGCGTTGTTGTTTCTAAAATTGAAAAGTTTTACCTTCAGGCTGGGATAAATAAAAAATTTCTTTACGGCGAAAGGCTCTTGCCAAGTTGAGGTCTGACCCTCACTACGTGATCGGCCTGCAATTTGCTAGCAAGCTCCAAGGGTTCCTTTTTGTACCAGTCACATGCGCATTTTGCCCATATGCCTCTGGGGTCGTACTTGCTTTTGATACCGTAGCACTTGTCCGGGTCAAAGGATTCCGTATATTTCCTCTGCACTTTCTCTGACGGTTCGTAATTGTTGTGACTTTTCCTGTACAACTCACGAGTGATTTTACTCTCCGTCAGCACCTCGTCGTCTGTTTTCGCAGGGTTTATCAGCAGTCCTGCCGGTATGTCTAAAAATATTCGTTAAGTTGTTGGCCTCCATGCTCTTTGGTATACCTTTTTCGCTGGGTTTCCCAAATGTTACCTGTAGAGGATCCATACCGGCTGGCAATCCCGGAACCGGATCCCTAACTTTACCAATTTCAGCGTTCCAGTAAGACGCATACGGAGTTTCCTTTAAATCTTGTTGAAGCTGTTGGTATCTCGTACGCACAGGCGGGTTTATTAGCGATTTTACCTATTTGATGAATCCACAAATGTTTTTGAGAAAATGTCATTTCTAATATTGTGTGCTGCAGAAGGTGGAATTAACAATATCAAAAGCTTTGCTGCCTTGGGTTTGAAAAAGAAATTGATTGTGACAATTTTAAATGTGGGATTTGATTACGATCATACCTCCGTATTGTAGCCTCGAAAATGTGGATTCTGTATCTCCGGTAGCTGTTTGGGTGGTTTAAATTGATCTTCTATCCAAATGTTCGCGTCATGTTTGAGAGCTTCTATTTTATCTACTATATGGTACTGTTGCAATGTTGAGGCAACCGTTTGGGTAGGGTCGCGTATCACCAGACCTGCCTACGAAGTAATTAAAGTTAGACTTCTATGGGAATCGATAATGGGTTCCATATACTGGGGGATGGGAGTCGCCGCATTGTATACATATTCTGTCCATGATGGATGCTGCTCTGACACAAGTCAAAACTAATGACAGTCGCTTGGTTTCTTTCGTCTCTCTTTACGACGCAACTTCGACCGTTTCACGCAACTTTATCACGATCTATTTTTCGCAAGAGAAACTTGCGAACTTTACCGACTATTGTGCCGAAAACAGTCCCAAAACTGAAAGTCACTCAAAATTGAATTTAATGTTTAATGCTGGGGGAACGCCGCAGACCGCTGAAAGTTTTCTCCTCGGGGAGTTACCAGCCGGAAAAATGAAACTTTCAACGAGCATATAGCGATATAAAATCGTCGTTTTTATGCGCGAGTTATTTTAATATGAAACTCTTTTGCCGATGCGTATGTTTCGTTGGAATTTTTTCAGAGTTCTAGCGCATCGGCTATAAATTATAAGTCGGTCATTAGTTTATAGTGACTTGCATATATGGAATATGTCTATAAATTACTGGAATGTGCAAATTATGAATCGTTATGAATATCCTAGGTTTACTTTATTTCTTCCATGCATTGAGTTTGCTCACTACACAAAATGAAATGGCTCAACATTAAAGCTACGTGGACTGGTCTGGTCAATACTTTCAAAAAACCACGGTTGTTACGGCATGATAACTTTTCTGATAACTTTGCAGTAGAAATAACTTAAAATCACTGAAGTGAACTCAAGTTCTATACCTAAAACTCTGTGAAGTAAAGGGAAGAATAAGGGAGAATTTGTCTTATATCTGTCGAATCAAGCTGCCGTATCTTGGATGGGAGCCTTTTGCTGAAATGTCAAACTGTGTGCTAAGGACGCACTAAACGCTTAGTTCGGGAGAGAAATTCTCTCTGCATTCGAAGTAAACTCTTGCAGATGGATCGAGGTGCTAATTGCAGGACCCTAAGTCCTGCGGTCCAAAATATGTCCGTATGATATGGGTGGTTAAAAGAGGAGCAAACATCTTAATGTCTTAATCACATGCCAACCACCAATGAGCAGTCGATTAAGAGTACTACAATTTACTCAACTTCAAAAGCTCATCTAGAGGAGGGACCGAAGTTGTGCGGCCGTAAGCACGTAAAGCACCGCATCCATGAGTTTACTAGAAGGGGGAGAGAACTTGGTGATTTATTAAAATATATTACGATACACCATATATTGGGTGGGTGGGTAGATGGTGCTGGCAGTTAAAGAAGCCGGTTTGTGACTTTTTGGAAATGTTAAACATTTAATTTCAAAAGTTAAATGTTAAATTTCGGAAAGATCGGGGATGTCGGAAAAATTTTGATCGTAACGGAACTTGAATGTTTTCCAGCGCAATTAGGTTAACGATTAAGCTAATTTTAGTCACGACGACAGCGATGAGAAAATCTCAAATGGTCCGTTTCAACGTTGTCGACGTCGCGCGCCCCATTAAGCTGCCGAAGGGCACCCCCGCGGGGGTAAAAGAAAATTCTTTGGAGACCGCCGACGTCGCCAATTAGCGCGGGCACGTGCAAATTAGCTGTTAATTCGCTCTGTAACGCGGTTGAAAGTAAATTGAAATGTGAGTGGCATCCGCTAATGTCCGCGACGCCATTGCGGAACGTACCCCCGCGGGACGCCTTCCGTTTTACGTATATAGGAGTGTTTCGCGTCGAGTGCCCAATTCGAAAGCTTTGGTGGAGAACAACTACCCAAAGAGAACTTCTTAATGATAAAGTGTACCTTTGAATGGTTCAGATTAAACTTCGCTAATTTTGACAGGTCATAGAGCAAGAAAAAAACGAAGGAGACTTTCTTAAGAAAATTTTATTAAAAAATGTTAACTAAAATATTCAAATTTGAAAAGTTTTGGAGCGAAAACTGGTTCTGATCTATTGATCTATTTCCGTCACATTTGGAACACAGACTGAGTACGTTTCTAAGTGGCGATTAAAGTCATTTTAAGGAATCCCGCAGGGGTCACATACTTTCACCCCCTCCTCTCGTTTAGATACAAAAAGTTGTTTTTTAGATTCCTTGTTTAATTTAGAAAATAATTGCTGCATTTTTTCTTCATTTACATGTTATAACATTATATTCAAAGTTATGTTTAACAGACGTTATGGGAGGCTTATAATAAAACTTCTTTTGTTTCACATTTTTGGTCGTATCTCTTGCTAATGTTTATTTGATAATTCTTTGGAATTATGTAGACGTACGAAAAGTTGCATAATTGCATTGAATGGGATATTGAGTCGTCAGTATCTTTTTACAGATATCTAAAAATATATAGCCCGAAGCAAGAACGGAAATAAATGGTTAAAAAGAATAAAGACAAAGATAAAAAGTGATAATGATAAATAGTAGAGATCAAGAAAATTGCTCGAAATATGTGACCTCCGTGGCAAGGTATTATTAAGAAACAGTTTTGGTACCTGTCAGTTAATTCATAGAATGCGGAAGAGTTGGTCCAGTTGGTGACTTTATTAAAAAATAGTTTTTAAGTTTCGAAATATTAACACTATAAAGAATTTAGAGGATTACAATTATCACCTTTACTATAAGCCATTACTATATTATACTCATGTTCATTTTGCCTCAAAAGGCGTTTGCCAATACCAATGATGTTTTGTTATGATATATGCTCCAGCAAAAAAATCTCTAAATCGGTAGGCAATTCTATTTTGTAATGAAAATCAACAAGTTGATCTATCTGCCGTATAACAAAGAGAAATCATTCCGTTTGGGTCTAATTTTGGATACAAAATTGGATTTTATTAACCATATTAATTTCTGCTTATAAAAATGCTATTCTATTTTTAAATCTCTTTACCATATACATATTACCTTAATATTAAGACTAAAGAGACCAAATATATGTAGTATATATAAGTATAGAAAAAGTCCAAAACTCGTGCTTCATATTTATTTTTGTAATAAGGCGGCATCAGACACTGTTTCATAAACTTCATGACTTGCAGTTGCTGAATATGTTCAACATGAGAATATAGTAGCATTTATTAAGTTTTTTTGTAAAATAATTAACAGTAAAAGACCAAAGTGCCTTCGGAAAAAATTCACATTTCTTACTCAAGTTCATCAACGACATTTACGTTTAACTCAAATGCTTAAAAATCCAGTACGTAAGAAATAATCCTGCAAGAAGATGTTTTCCTAACTGACTATAAATTTTTGATTTGCCTCAGTCGATTACTTGTTCCCTGTTATACCAATTATACTTATATGTGTGTGTAATTTTCAATATTTCAGGGGTAACAGTTTCTAGTACCTTTTGCCACATGTTTAAACAAATATCTTGAGTATGTCCATCTCTACCAACATGTCGTTAGCTTTTTGTTATTAAGTTCAATCGGTTTAAAATGACAGGTATATGGAGATAATAGTACAACTATTACATACTGTTCTACCACGTACCACATTATTCGCATTTGCAATTTTTTGTTCGATTAACCAATTATGATTGTGCTAAGCATTGTTGCTTGACAGATAGTTCACTCAAGTTCTTCGAGCTGATTTTCGAACCAGAAGAAAGTTGTCCTTCCACAGCCTACTGTAATACTATTTATTCAATTCTGGATTCCTCCATCGTCGGTTGTTGTTGAATCTAACTTGCTTAACATCCTTCAGCGCTCAATTGAAACTGAATTAAAAATCAAACTGACCCAGGAGATATCCAGAAATTTTGTAAATGGTTGCACTGCATAATCGATAACCAGCATGAAATATGATTTATCTAAAAAAAGAGTTTTATTTGTCATTGTCATTTGTAATTTGCCATCAACTCAAACTCCAACAACGGTGGCGATAATAAGTTTTAGGGATGGCGTCATCGATGACGTGATTAGTTTATTTGGTATGAGCTATATTTTTATAATCATAAGAACAGCCAGCCTTTATTTATAAATAATAATTAAAAACTAAAGTTGTCCTGCAATGAAACGAGTTTCGCCGCGTCCCGGGTTCGTTATTACACGCCAAAGCTATAGCTGGCATGCTCAAAGGGCCCGACTAACAAATAAATACATAATTTACCGAGCAAACTCGGCGCGTTTATTTTAAAAACGCACCAAACGGGGCCCATAAAGGAATCAGAGAGCGTGCGAGAATAAATTTTAAAGTAAGTCTTGTGGGAGTGGTCAGAGCCAGCTTTATTGCTAGTAAAAGTAACGAGCTTTGTCAGATCTCACACTCCCGCTGCATTATAGCCTGCGGGAGCGTAAAATCTAACCGTGTCCCGTAACGTTTTAAAGTTTCCATTGAGGATAAACGAATGGTCCTTGCCATATAATCATGATTAACAAAAATGGTAATTTGTTTTTATACTTTCATTCGACTATTTCGCCGATATGTGTTAAATGTACCACGTAAAGACGGCGTCCCTGCCCCTCCCTCTCCCTTTAGAAAAATAAAACGCGGAAATCAAAAACCGAGCTTTTCCGGCAAAACGACGACGACCGCCTTCCTTTCCAAATTGCTTCAATCAAAAGTCTCGCGTCTCAACTAGGACGACGATTGCTAGACACTCTTTCGGTCCTCGAAAAAGAAATACCTTTTGCGTACTACGTATACGACTATAATTGCTTCGAAGGATGGAGGCGACCCGGCCAGCGCTTGGATGCGGCTCGAAAGTTGTTTCGAATTAAATAATCTGTTTGAGTGACAAAGTGACTCAAAGCAAATACGAAAAATTTAAAGTGGTGATTCTTCTAAACTCAACCAACATATCGCGCTACAAATATGGCGGAAAAATAATGTGGATAGAATTAACCTGACTAAATTTAATTAAAAACTTGTAATATAATGTAATGACATAAAAAAATGTATGTTTTTAATTTTATGTTCTATTTAAAAACTTTCGTCTCCTAGAATTTTTTCATAATTCTTATTGTTTATAAGTAAATAAATAAAATCTAAAGCAGTCCATAAGGATATATTTAATTAATTTAATAAAAAAATATTTTAATTTATTAGAAAATATGTACATATTTCATTTTTTAAATAAACTTACTTTTGATTCCGTTTTCTTCAGACCAATAAATTTTAAGATGTTTGTTTTTAAATTAATTTTTGTAATTTAAAACTATTT